AACGTATGATTTCAATAGTAAAAAGTTAAAAGCTATAATTATATTTTTTATCCAAATGGATTTCGTAAGCAACTAAAGACGTTCAAACCAAAGTTTTTTATAAATGTTATAGTGGCAAGTCCAAACCAAAGAAGGCTAGAGACAGTTCTTGTTTTTGTCACATAACGTAAAAGATTGACGGGTTGTAAATTTGTAAATGAATCTTCTTCTTTTATCTTTGACGAAGATTATATAATGAAGCTTTTTATTTGGATAATTACCGAAGATAATTGAAAATCAATCGGTAATAAGCATATATTCTTTTACAAATTAGTAATTTAAGATGTATTTTAGGAATATTCTTTGACACATAAGTCTAACCGACTTAACAACTCACCTCTAACTTTTTAACTCTCTCTTAATTTAGACCCAATTGTTTATATTTATCACAGAGATAACAGAAAACAGTTTTGTTAAAAATATCAAAAACATTTGTTTTTTTTTCTTCTAAAAAAATTAATTATTTCTGAATCTGATAGATAAGAACTAAGAAGTAAAGGAATAGTTTCATAGAAAAATTGAAAAATTCCTGGGTTATTTAGACAATTGAACTTATACTGAGTATATTATGTAAATTATAATAACTAAGGGTAACAATTCGAAATAGTTGAAAACTAGGGAGGTCTTTTCCTTTATATAATAAACCTTCTCTGCCCACTGAAATTACTTCAGCAAATCGATTCTCTCTTTTACTTGCAAACTTTTTCTCTTCTCCAGAGAATCTGATCCTAAAGAGGAGAAATTTCGGTAAACCCTACAATTTTCTTTTGTTAATCTTTCGTTTTTCATGTTCAGGGTTGTAATTTTCTCGTGCTAGTTTCATGTTTTTGGTTAAATCAAGTTCGTCTGAAATCTCTAGATGATATCGACTTATCTTAACGCGAAATCTGTAAAATTCTCTGTGTGTGAAGCATAAAAGTTCAATTTTTGTGAAGGAATTTTTGTGAAATTCTCTGTGTATTGTAATCGTGTTTTCTGGGCTCTCGAGATTAGATCGAGACGTAGAAGAAAAAAAAACTCGAATTTCATTGTGTTCTGGGTAAAATTAAAGGCTAGCTTTTGTGTTCAGTATCTGTCGTATATTGCTCATGATTTTCGTCAGAATTATCAATAAAAATTTGATTTTTTTTTCTTATGAATTTAAGGGGTTGAAGAAGATGGGAAATCTATTTTGTTGTGTACAAGTCGACCAATCAACGGTTGCGATTAAGGAAACATTTGGGAAATTCGAAGATGTTCTTGAGCCAGGTTGCCATTTTCTTCCATGGTGTCTTGGTAGTCAAGTTGCTGGTTACCTTTCTTTAAGGGTTCAGCAATTAGATGTTCGTTGCGAGACTAAGACTAAGGTCTTTTTTCTTATAACTTTAAATCTCTTTTTATGAATAAGAGTCTGATGAATTTCTGTATCTTAAGTTTCTTTCTTTTTTGGTGTGTGTGTTTTTTGCAGGACAATGTGTTTGTTAACGTTGTTGCGTCGATTCAATACCGTGCTTTAGCTAATAAGGCGAATGATGCGTTTTACAAACTCAGTAACACAAGGAGTCAGATTCAAGCTTATGTCTTTGATGGTTTGTGTCTTGTTTGTGAAATATATTAAGAAAGTGAATGTGTAAAGAAACTGATCAGTATGAGTTTTTGGTTTCTAGTGATTAGAGCAAGTGTCCCCAAGCTGCTTCTGGATGATGTTTTCGAGCAGAAGAATGAAATTGCGAAAGCTGTTGAAGAAGAGCTCGAGAAGGTATATATAATCACTGTTGTGTTTTGGTCTCTTCTTGGCTGCTTATGAATGTTCACTGAGTTTCTCTGTAACTTGTGTAGGCAATGTCGGCTTACGGTTATGAGATTGTTCAAACTCTCATTGTTGATATCGAGCCTGATGAACATGTCAAACGCGCCATGAACGAAATCAACGCTGGTAATTACCAAAACTTCTCATCATTTACAGATTCTTGACTTGTTCCTCTTTCTTGTAAATCCTCAAAATCTGAGTTTCTGCTTCTTGTTTATAGCCGCAAGGATGAGATTGGCTGCAAACGAAAAG